CAACTCACACAGTTGCAAACTATTCAGGAACAGGCCGTGCAGGTCTTGATTCTGTTGGCAGAAACATAGGGGAAGATCCAGTGATGCCCAGAGAAGTGGAGGAGGAAAGAGTTGCTGAGAGCACTGTACAGATATGCAAGTACATCCCACCTCTGCAGGCAGCGCTTGGCAATTTAAATATCTCTGTGCTTCAGATTGGCAGCCAACCCAGACTGAGTTCTCTCCCTTGTAAGCTATAGCAGAGCAAGGTGGCAGATGCCAAAAGTAAGGTGGGGAAAGCAGCCTTTGGAAAGAAGCTGCCAAAGGCTTAAGTGGCAGGAAGGAATGCAGACAGCAGCTTAGAATCACAGGACAGAAGAAATTCAGCAACTGAAGAAGCCTCATGGCCAAGCAGGATTCACAGTAGATGGAAACAGAGCCTCACTTGACTAATGACACAAATTCAGGGAAAATGGAACCTGTAAGGAAGAACATTATCAAGGAAGGCCACGACAGGAACGGATTGGTAATTCATGTATATTGATGACACAGAACTGTAAATGCTTCCTAACTTATGAAGCAAGTTAATTCAAGGTAATCCTACCTTCAGTTCTGTCTTTCCACCCAATTTAAATCTGGTATATGGCAGAGATATTCATTTATATGAACTCCAACAGTGTAATGAAATTCACACTTATATGACTGCACCCCCAGAATGACATGTTGTTGTTTACTAACTGAAACTGACAAGCCCTAGAAAGCCCACTGGAGTCTTTAGATTGTGAACTTCCAGAGGGTCCTCACATTCAGACTGACTGCCTCATCTTCCCTGAGCCCACCAAAACACTGCAAAATCTCTTGAGCCAGAGGACAGCCAAGGAAGCAGACTGTTGTGTTACTACCACTTTGAAAATGACCAAGGGATGAAGGAAATTCTGTGCATAGTCAGGGGCTTCAGCTAAGCTTTCTAAAGACCAGAACATGAAATTGGACCAGACCTTGAGCTCTGAGTAGTTTTCAATGGAAAATTAGTTACACCACACCTCTAGTACACACGTGGACCTATTTATCTTCAGGCAGCAACTCAGACTCTAAAGTGAACTTGAGTAAGAGACTGCTTGCCACACTTTAGCACGCTCCATGAGAACTTTTAACATGTCTACATTGCTATTTGTCCATCTTTTGCAGTCTCCATGCCTCCATACACAAAAGTTCAAAGACTGTATCTTCTAAGAAGGTCATTTCAGAGGGACTCCCTTTGCATACGGTTTCATAATACAACTAGAGACATGGCTTTGGCTCAGAGTCATAGGCTCAGAGCCTTCGAATGTCTCCCTCCAGAAGATCTGTCTTCCAGATCATATGAAGCAATCTAGATCAACAGAAATGGTTCCATACTCATTTCATTTCTGTTTCTGTGAGTAAAACATCCTAACTAATAACAAATCTTGGGAGAAAGTCTTCATTGACTACAGCTCCAGGTTTTCATCTCTTATTGAAGAAAACTCAAGGAAGAACACTGAAAGCATCTCACCTACACCCAAGGGCAGAAACAGAATAAGCACAGCAATCCTTGCTTGCTCGCTTGCTTGTTTCCATAGACTTGCTTTTCCTTTTCTCTTATGCATACTGACTTTCTTGCACAGGGCGTGGCACCACCAGCAATGAGTTGGATCACTCTACATGCACTCACAATCAAAATAACCCCCTCAGCCACACCCTAACCTGATTTAAATAATTTCTCAGTAAGACTATTGGAAAGTCAATAAATTGAACTGAGAAGAACTGTGCTGAGTAAGGTCACTCTAAGAATAAATACCATATGATTTATCTCAAATATGAAACCTCACATCAAATGATTCCTGTGATTATCTTGAAGTCCTAGTGGAAGCCAAGAAAGTAGCGTCCATTTGGTGGGGAAGCTTGTGTGGTAAGTTGGGAAACTGCAGAGCATGGTAGAATAAATGTAGAGAGAAGAAATCCTGGTGTCATAAAGGACAGATAAGTAGTTTGTGGAGTGATGGGGAAAGTGGCCATGGGTAAGGATTAACCAAAATTAGGTGTGCAGAAAGAAGACGTATGGAAACCCATGACCTTCTACCCCAAGGAAAGAATATAGTATGAGGAGGTAGGGGAACACAGGTGGGGAGAAACAATGTGAGTGGAATTCTGGGAGTTCTAAGTTGAAGTGGGGTTGGTTGGTGGTGGCACCAGGCTTCAATCTCAGCACTTGGGAGGCAGAGGCATCCTGGTCTACAGAGAGAGTTCCAGGACAGCCAGTGATACACGGAAAAACCCTGTCTGGAAAAAAACCAAACAAAGAAAAATGCTTAAGCAGGAATGAAAAAAGGAGGTTGGATTAGGCCATGTTTAGCAAGACAAACAAAGAATGAAGCTTTTTGAAAATGTACTAATAGGGAAATTAGGTCATTCATGCTATTTTTAAGAAGACATATAAAGAGGTATACTGCACATGAGTGGACAAAGTTATACCTGGAAGCCACAAGTCAATAAAAAAAAGTGTCAGCAAGCACCAGAAACAATTTAGCTTCCTATGGTCAGGCAAGCCCAGAGGTGCCCATAAGGATACTGGGTATTGCCTCTGGTCTGGACCCTGTAGTTGAGACACTACACAGTTTTGTTAGTGGGCATATGGAAATCAATCTTAAAAACTCACCATGAAACTCTCCCAGCTAGCTAATGTTCATAGTACCCAGAAGGTGTTATGATGGCTGTCATGAGAGAAAATGCCATGTCTTGCCCATGAATGGACTCTGTCTGGTATAATACTGGCCTGGCAGGCATGAGGAGTCTACTGGTGTAATACTGGCAATTCTGTTCCTGGAGCTAACCAACTGCTCTCCTGATTGGATCTTGAGGACTATGGCACATGAGTAAGTGTATTTCTGGTACTGTAAACATGGTCAAACCCTACTGCTATTGACCTTATAGTTCCTGCATGGTACTGTGGGGTACTTAGTGCCATTCTGCTAAGTTATCCTTTTGTTAAAAACGTCTTGTAAATATTTATGTTCACATCCATAGATATGCACTACTCTCCACATTAGAGAAGCTTCTAGTTACAAGAAGTAGTGGTCAGTGCAGAAATACATACCTTTCCAAAGCTCTGACACTAAACAACTGTGAGTGCTTAGCCACAGATGGAATATCTCCATCTGCTTGCCCCTGCTGCCAGGGAACACTGTTGTCTAAGAGGTAGAAAGGATGTCAGAGCCAGATTACAGGCAGGAACACTGTGAATTGTTGTAAGTTGCTGCGCATGTGAACTCACAGTTGTTGTAGTAGTCTGCATAAGACTTGAACAAATAAAGGCAGATAAATGTCGAGGAAGGGGATTTGTGGTTGAACCCCTAGCTGAGGCACCATTGGCAGTTGATGTTTGCTGGAAAAGCATCACTTCTCTGTGTGTAGATGGCCTCTGGTCAGTTACCTGTGACCCCATGGTTGACCCCACAGTTCTGTGCACTTGAGTAGCACTAAGTGGTCATGGTGGCTTAAGTAGGAACATATACATATGATAAAAAGGAGGACATGAAGGCTAGAATGGCATGTGTTGGGAGGCATCCAATGTAGAATGCAGGGAGAGATGGCTGGTGATGATATGATCAAAACATATGGTATCTATGCATGAAATTTCAAAAAACACAACATCATATCAAAAAGAGATTCTTCTCTCAGGCTGTTTGATATTCTGTCAGGATGATGATTAAACTACCCAGCAAAGGCCACAAACTGCCAACACCAGAAAGAACGAAAAGAATTTACCAAACATTCCATCAGACACCTGAACTTACCTTGTCAACTAACAAATAGTTATTAATCCAACCTTTGGGGAAATCGAACTTACACAGAAGTTGCAGAGAAGTCAGACTTAAGTATATGTGAGGCCCCTAGTTTGCCTTATTGCTGTTTCTCCCTTGGAACTTGAGCATGTGGACATCAATTTGTTCCTATGTGACACAGAGTGGAGTAGAGGTCTGGCATCTGTACTAGTGTAATCTACACACCTGCCTTACACTCTCCATGATCTGTTTTACTCAGTCATCGTGGGGAATTCCTGGGAAGCCATTGTTCTTTATCAGCAGTACAGACAGGCACAGAAGCTTCCTGCCATCAGGGTTGGACCACCATATCTCCTATCTTTGGTCCGGGAAGCACATTTACATGTAAAGGTCTAAAGCTGCTGACCTTGGAAATAAAGGCCAGTATTTATACTTGGGTAACTGTATGCAACAGCAAATTCTATTGCTCAAGAGTACTAATTCATTGACTAAAGTAGACCTGGGACCCAGACTCTAGGTACATTTTATCCAAAACCTACCTGTGTTCATTTCCTAGAGGCAGGGATGGTACATTTTGATAAACCTTTTTTTTTTCTCTTTCTCAAGAAATGTAAAAGTAATCCATACTTACTCATTGCCTGATGAGATTTGTCCAGAAAGACTTTACAATGCTGTCTCCCTAGTATTCTGTTCTTCCATTGAAATCCTACCATTAAAACTACCCAATACTAGCTATTAGCTCTAAGATTTCTGGAGTTGAAATGCCAGCTCTTCAGCGAAAATATCACTAAAGCTTTCTGAAATGCCTTCACACATCTCCAGGTTTGCTTTCAGTTTTTCCAGGGAGGACCAAGAGGAACATTGTAGCTAGCTACTACTATGGGGCTCTGTTCTTCAAGTTTATTTCTGTTCTAACCATATCAGCTGGGGTGTGATTTTTTCCTCCCCATTTATGCGGTGGTGAAATGTTTGGAACCTAGTTCCTCCTTGCTGTGCTTAGGAAAGACTCCTAGTTGACTATTTCTCTGTTCTATTGCACAGTCAAACCATGCTTGAGACAACACTTAAAGCCCTGCTCTGGCTCATAGCCACTGCAGCCCATTAGAAGACTTTAATGAGGGCACCTGGGATAACTCTCTTGCCATTGTGGGGATGGAAATGTTTACCGAATTGTGAACAGTGAGTCAGAAGGATCAGCTATATGACCATAGTTCCTACCTCTACAGCGCGAGGATCCTGTAAGGCCTGGTCCTTCTTAGTCCTCTTGGAATGAGGGAGATGAAGGTTGTCCTCCCCATTGTCATCTGGTCGTCTTTTCCTGAAAATAGTTTTCAAAGGTAGAAGGACATCTGTCATTCAGTAATTGATCTTGGATGCTTAACTTGTAGCCCTCTGCCAATACCTAAATCTGGGGATCTTGTCTAGGAAAGAACCATTCAGTGCTGCTCTGATGGACTTCCATTATGTAGCAGGTGGCACTAGGCAGTGGAGGAAACATGTCAAACAGAACTCTATGTGTACCCAAAGGCCAAGTTCAATTTCCCCAAATCAGCATTTTAATTTCAACCACTGTTTCAAACTAGAAACAAAGAATTTTAGGGTCAAATGTTAAAACTGTACCTGACCAGGCCCATTATCTTATTATTCATCCACTCCAGTTTATAAGTGACTAAGCCCTGCCATAGGGCAACTCTCAAGAGACATGTAACTTCTACAGTCTACTTGCTCTTATGTCCCTTTAGCCAGTGGCTGGGAACACTGAACAAATAAATATTCTTTCTGTGTACTGTCATGTCATTCCTGTTGCTATAACAATTATTATGTCACTAAACTGCCAGCATCATACCATGACTGATTACTTCCTTGAAACCATGTCTAAAAAGTGTCTTAATGAAACCAGATATAGTGATTCATGCTTGTATTACCAGCACCAGGGAAGATAAGGCCTGAAGATCTACCTGTATTTCCACTGTTTCCTAGGCTAAATTATAAGTTCTAAGCCAGCTGGACTCTTCTATAGTCAGGTCCTTTTTCAGACAAAAAAAAAAAAAACAAACAGTAACCACACTATTCTTCACCAATTTTGTTGTGGCATTTGCCACTATAATTCATATCTTTCTATTTTCTTTTATTCACAATGATCTCCCTCTACAGTCCAATTTGTCATCAAGCTCACTATCGTGGCTTGGCTGGTCTTGAATTTGCTGTAATTCTCCTGCTTCACCTTCAAGAGTAACAGTCTACTCACCTGAGCCTAAAAGTTGTGCAGAAATCCTATAATTGATTAGAGAAACATTCTTTTTCACTGCTTAATTAGAAACTATCTTATGTGTTTGGTATTCCTTAAGACTGTAAATTTACTGATGTCTATTCTTTTTTTTTTTTGGGGGGGTTTTCGAGACAGGGTTTCTCTGTGTAGCCCTGGCTGTCCTGGAACTCACTCTGTAGACCAGGCTGGCCTCGAACTCAGAAATCCACCTGCCTCTGCCTCCCGAGTGCTGGGATTAAAGGCGTGCGCCACCACCGCCCGGCCTGATGTCTATTCTTTAGTTAGTCTTCAACCTTATGCTCATCCTTAAGAAACTCAATGTGTGGCTGGGCGGTGGTGGCGCATGCCTTTAATCCCAGCACTTGGGAGGCAGAGGCAGGCAGATTTCTGAGTTCGAGGCCAGCCTGGTCTACAGAGTGAGTTCCAGGACAGCCAGGGCTACACAGAGAAACCCTGTCTCGAAAAACCGAAAAAAAAAAAAAAAAGAAACTAAATGTGCTATCAGACTTTTTGACTATCTTCTCCATTGCCTCTTCCCTCTTTCTATAATCATTATCTAATTGAAAACTGAGAACTGCATGGGAGGTTTAAGCACATCCCTCCCTGGATCTCTTTTCCATGTCAAATACTAACCTTTTATAATGAATAAGAATGATAAGAGTGGCTAGAAGGGAAGTTCTCTTGAATAATGACTCACTCTCCTCTTCTACAGGATGGGAAAAAATCAGTTCACAGCTGAAAGCTTATTAAACAGTTTCTTTATGGCATAGAAGTTGATGATATAGTTAATGTTGTATTATCTATATAGAGTGTTACTTCAAAAGAAATTTCTCAGAAGCAAATACAAGATTTTTTTTAGGTATTTCACAAATGCCAAAACAACATCAAAACCTAGTAGCTAGCTTTGGGCAATACAGAATATTTCAAAAAAGACTAGCTTCCCTTCACACAATTTCCTGTCAAATAATTGTGTTCTTAATTAAAATAGTATTTTAGTGCTTTGGCTTCTAACTTCACATATACTATATTTTTCTGAGCCCTCCTATCTTACCACATAATCCAAATCACTATTTAAACTGACTCCAGATCTTGAATATGTTATCAGTTAACCTTGAGATACTTTCCAAAATCTTAGCTGCTATGAACTGACCATGATCCAGGACAGTGTCTGTGTAGAAAGACAGCAAATACACTGAGAGCCAATCAAAACAACACATGAAGCAACAATAATAGGTCTACCATACTACACAAATAAATTCCATGCTGTATAGCATTTACTTAAACCTCATGTAATGAAGGAAGGCACTTTCAACCTGGAAAGATCTGGGCTCTGTTGATTACCAGCCAGCTACATGTTTTTTCCTTAAGTGAACTAACCAGGCTGAAGCTAGTAGTATTGATTTTTCAGGACAAAATAGTAAATATTGTAAAATAGTAAATAAAAAAATTATATAGAAAAACTGTTACAACATAATGCTATGAGAACACTGATTACACACATATAAGGAAAATACTGAATATGCAAACGTCTTAGTTCACAACACTTACTAAGCACAAACTACAATAAAGATGTTCCTTTGGGTACTGGGTTAAGATAAGCATATATCTCAGCTCCTGCCCTCACAAGACTGCATGCATGATGATGGCTGGTTTTGGATCATGAGTTACTGTGTTTTGATCTCCTGTTTACTGAAGCTTTCAACACTTTACATTTTAGTTTTTAAACAAAAATATGTATAGTGTAAAAAAAGTTATTTTTCAAAAATGTAAAAACTGAGCTCTAAAGCAGTATTTTAAATATACGTCACGAATGAAAATATCTAAGTTAATTTTTGCAGTATATTATCAAAGTTTAATCTCTCAGCAGTAGGACTATGGATAAGATTAGCTTTCAGTATTGTATAGTATAAGCCTCCCAAGTTTTCTAGAGTGAGAACAAACAGTAGCTACAAAGGATGAATATGTTAAGAAAAAGGCCTATAAACCCCAGGACACCAATGGGTCCAAGAAACCAAAAAGATCTTTCAGAGAAGCAGAAATGACAAGTTGCTAAGGTATCTAGGCATCCCCATGGGAGAGTTGTGTCTCTAAATGATGACTTTTTGCCAAGACCCTTCCAGAAGGGAGGACCCCACCCCAACACACACACACACACACACACACACACACACACACACACACACCCCAGAACCTGCATAGTTCTGACACCAGAAGAAAGGGCTTCTCTAGTAAAAGGTTCTACATGGCTCTTTCTAAAGTGAAGGGTGGGGCGAACAGCAGAGAAGCTGCCATGTGTCTCCAATCTTGATGGAAAATCCAATTTTCCAGCTACTTTTCTCTGGAAAATTCAAGAGACTTGGCTAAGGAACCCAAGTAGTATGAAAGGGAAAAGTACAGATGAATTGGTACTAGTAAGGCCTCCAGTGTAGAAGCCTTTCTTAGTTCCACTTTCAGAACCATGGCAACAGCAACAGAAAGTATACGTGCCACATGAAGCCTAAATGGAAGTGGAAAGATAGGAGAGGAATACTACCTAAGACTGTAGGTTGTAGGACTATAGGAACCCAGAGAGGTCACTTCTAGTCTCCAACCTGAGGCCTGCCTAAATATTCCTTCTAAAGCTGTTGTGGCCTGCAGGCTAAGGATCTGGAGCACTGATATATAAAACATAATGCCCAATTTATTGCTGTGGTGCCAGAAGTGAGAAGTGTGTCAATCCCCTGGACATATTCCTCCCACTCTGGTGCTTCTACTGTCTTCTTTGCAACCCTCAATCTTTAAAACTAACTGCCTATCTTAGTGCCCACAACATCGAGAAAGCCACCAGTGGATCCTCTTCCCAGGGACATTCTCATTTTCTCCTGCTAAGCCTCCCTGCCTGTGGCCATGCCCCGAGCAGCACAAAAGATGGTGTCCCATGCTGTCTTTTTCTTTCATCCTCCTCTCTCATCACCAGTAGTTCTTCTGGCCTTGTAACTCCCTAATGGTTCCACATTATATCCACAATCTTCAACATCCTATAGGTTTCCACTCCACTGGCCACAGTTTTCTTACCATATGCTAGACCTGTAGCTATGAACTCATAAAAAACATTTGTGCTGCTCCTTTTTCCTCTCCTCACTAATTTGCAAACTCCCAAATAACAAAGTCTATGTTCTTACTCCTCTGCTTATAGTAGCCTTCCACGAGCCCCAATACCAACTCTCACTATGATATTCATTAACCATTCCTTGAATAACCAGAAGCAGGGGCTGGTTAAATGGTTTAGTTGGTAAACTGATTGCCCCAGTAAGCATACTTTGTAATCCCAATGCTGGGGTGCCAGAGAGGATGGTAGTAGGGGAGACACACAGACTCCTGAAACTCACTGGCCAGCCAGTTTTGCCAGATGTTCAGTTCTTGGGTTAATGAGAAACCCAATCTCAAAAAAATACATCTCAAGGTAAAGGCCTGCCTGGGTTACAGAATTCATGGTTAGTCTGTGCAGCCTAGTAAGACATTTGCCAAGTGACCCAATCTGCACTTTGTGACAACCAATCCTAGAAGGAGTTGTGAAGAGAGTAGAATTGGGAAGCAGAAATCAAGGGTGTAACCTGTGAAGAAGTGGCTGTTAATTTCACCTTGGAAGAGTGGGCTTTGCAAGATTCTTCCCCAGAAAAGCTCCATAGGCATGTGATATAGGAAACCTTCAGAAACCTGGTGGCGACAGAAACAGCAGAACTTTGAAGATGACTATAGAAATTCCAGGAAAAAAATCAAAGACATCAAATCATAGAGACTCTGAACATAGTAATTACTATGGGAAAAAATTTAGCTGAATTCTAGATACCATTGTGAACAAGAAAGTCCTTGTAGAGTAAAACCATATGAAAGGCAGGTATGTGGAAATGGAGATATCCTTTATGTTCATTCATCTCTAAATGTTCATATCACAACTCAGAATGAAAATCATCCAGATTAGGAACAGAAAAAGAGACGGGGGAATATAAAAAATGTGAGCATGCCTTTAGTTCTCCTCAAAGGTTTCTGAGTCATGTAAGGATTCACAA